GCTCGTCGCCACCACATCTCTCTATCTGCTGCTTTATAGTTAACTGTCAATTCACAGGCATTACACAATACGTTTTGAGGATAAATTGCTCCACAGATGTAATGATCATTGAGGACTTATTTTAAAGCCTGGTTACTGATCGTTGAGTGTTTCTAAAACACTGAGGGCGTAGTATGCTTATTTTGTCCTCAGTTATGAAGGAACATTAAACGCTCTAAATCACTTCCTATTCATTCATGATTGTGGGCAGGGCCGGATTTAATCTCTCTGTTGCCCCAAGGCCAGGTTCCTCAATGTGCCTCCCCCATTGGGGAATGGCAGACCTGCAGGCTGCATACAAGTGATCTCGGCGACATCGCCAGGATCACTTGTACAAAACAAGTGACGGCTTCCCCACTGTACATTTAGTTCTGCTTGCCCAAAGCAGGGCTAAATGTAGAAAACTACCCTCCCGGCTCCCAGAACTGCATGTCCCAGGCATCAGGGGATGGGAATTCCACACCCCTGCTGCCCCTCTACTCCCTTCTGCCCCAAGGCCCGGCCTTGGTTGGCATTGTGGGAAATACGTTCCTGATTGTGGACACAGTAACTGATACTATATTCACAGTTTACAAATGGACCGGAGCACTCGGTATAGAGGCTTCCTCTTCATTCATAACAGGGGCTACAGAAAAGAGATTTAGGACTCAGTGTCCTCAATATCTATTTAGACCCCTGATATTCCCCCAAAGCCCCTAACTGTAAGGTAAAAAAATAATAATAAAAATTTTAAATAATAAAAAAAATATATTTTAACATTTTTTTAAAAGGTTGAGGGGAAAAAAAGTAATTTTCAGTTTAATGCAGACACATTTTTCAATGTTGGTTTCGTACAACAAATTTAATTTGGGTGTATCCCTAATAGTAATCTATGTTTTAAATAAAGATTTAACGCTGGGCAATAATTCCCAAAGCACTATGGGTTCTCTAAAGGGCAGCACCAGAGGCAGTTTTTTATTGAGGAAGGATTCATCTGATTGAAGCCTCAGACTGATAATGGTTGAGCTACAGGAACTGAGACAATTAATTTAATTTTGCCTTGAGCTACTGAGGTCTGTATACAGGCTGTAAATGTATTGGGAGAGCTGCAAACTTCACTACCTAGTTAAGCTAATGAAAAACATCGACATGCATAATATTTTTAATATTTTTTAAAAATGTTTTTTTTATAAGTCATGACCATAATGAGCAAAATCTCCTACAAAACAACAACACTGTGCCTTTTTAGGAAAACATTTTGTTTTAGCTTGCAGTATTTATTTCTCTAATGTTTGGCTCAGTATTCATTTACCCCCTTCCCCTCCCCCTCCCCTTTTGTCCTTCTGATTTAATTTACACCATATATCCCCAGGATATCCTCTGGTATCATATTGTACATATTGCTCCTGGCATCTTATTGCTTGTGATTCCTCAGTGAGTTGAGCTGTCTTGATCTATGGACTTCAAGTGATAAATCTCTCCTGTTACAGAGACACTGGAGTTTTCTCTTTCAGCCACAATTATAGATGACAAAACCTTCCTAGCACCTCCGTACCAGCCTGCCAGTTTATAACTTTATTACAAGTGATGGGTTTATGCGGAGGCCCGGTGCTGATTATACAGCGTTTTGGAAGGCACAGGAGTTGCAGTCGCCAACCAATGGATTTGCTGCTCGTGTTATTTAAAGTGGATCTTACAGTGAAATGCAATGTCCGCTCAAATTTCCCGGGTTCCCTCCTCCTTTATAAATCACATAATGTTGGTAGGTATAAAATGTATCTGTTTAGACCCCTAATATTTCCTCCGAAGCCCCCCCAAGAGTAAAACAATTAATAAATAAAATAAAAATTAAATAAATAATAATTTAAAAAAAATAGTAAAAAAAAAAAATCTTGGAGGCAGGGCACTGGGTGACATCACACGCCTGTTGGGACACACACACACACACACACTGTTTTCTTTCTTACCTTTGGCGCAAAAGGAGTTGGCTACGGGTATGCTCCCACGGTGCACGGACTGGAACGCAGGCACTAATGTGCCTGGGTTCCGGGAGCAGGCGATCTCACTGTGGGCGAGGGGCCTGCCTGCGGTGCCATTGACTTCAATGCACCGCCACGCCCCCTCCAGCCCCTGAATGCAGGTGTTTTTTCATTGGTAGATCTCATTGAGCTTGTCATTTGAAAAGTAGATCTCAAGACGAAAAATTGTGGGCACCCCTGGTTTAGATGGTTTGCCGAAATGAATACTTTGAGCTTCTACAAGTAGCTATGAAGGACTTGATTCTTAAATGCTGAACTTAATACAGGGTTGGACAGATCACAGGAGCCATGTAGCCAACGCACCTTAAACATTATAGCCAATTTCCAGCTTTTGAAGTCTTCTCTAGTTGTTTTAAAAAAAAAAAAAAAATAAGCATTGTAGGTCCTGGTTTGGGTGGACTCTCTTCTGAATTCTATATTTATTTATCCACCCCTGCAAATATGCCTGGGAAGTGCCAGTGCTGCCTATTGTTGTATGATATAAAGCCACATGGTTGCCTGCTGAGAAGGCCTCCATGGTGCTGCTTTTGGTCTGTTCCTGGTCTCCTTGTGACAAGTTGGTGACGTGGAAGGTTTACTGGACGGCTGGACCGAATACTATCCATCTGCATACATGAATGGTATATGGTTTGGTTGGCTGACAACATTGTGAATAGCTTTATATTTTACAAAGGGATGTTTTATGGGGTATTGAAGTGAACTTTTCATGTGCCATTCTTTGTAATAAAGGGGATATTATTTGGTGCAGCAGTCCAGAGAACTTTCTTTTACTTATGTGTAAGTATAGTTATAGTTGGACTTGCTGGTGCTCCCACACTGTTGCCCTCTATTAAAGGTCCAGCATACATGGAGTTTTTCCTTTTTTTATGATAATTTTTGAAAAGGTGGTGACATAAACCACGTGTGTGTGTATGTATGTAGCCATGAGTGAGAATAAAATACTGAGCTTTGTGTGTTTTTTGTTTTATTTACAGGTACTAAATGAAGCGGTGGGTGCACTGATGTATCACACAATCACTTTAACACGAGAAGACTTGGAGAAGTTCAAGGCTCTCCGAATAATCGTCCGAATCGGTAGTGGGTTTGACAACATCGACATCAAGTCAGCTGGAGATTTAGGTATTTTGTTTACTGTATCATACCTTAGGGAACACGAATTAAAAATGTGTGACGGGAATGTTTGTGTTGAGCGTAGTTGCAAATCTGTTTCAAGCACACCTCTTGTAATACATGTTAGAAAATGAAGACTATGGTTTGATTGGTATTGCTCTCACATTTTCACGCTTCTATGTTAATACACGCATGTTAACATGTGTTGGGTTGAGAGCTAGTTCACACCACAAACAGTACATTCCACCCCGATTTGGTCCTGGATCGCATCCCGGCCGGCTCCCTGCATTCAGCGGTGGGAGGGGGCGTAGCGGTTCATTGAAGTCAGTGGAACCGCAGCCATGCCCTCTGCCCGCAGTACGCTCGCACCTGAACGCGTGGCACATTATTGCATTCATTACGGTCCAGTGCGACCTGCAAAAATGCTGCATGCACTATTTTTTTTCTGACCGCACCAGACCGGAACACTGGCATTGATGAGAGGGGGATCTGCGGAGCCATTTGACCTCAATAGACCGCCACGCCCACTTCCACCCCTGAAGGCAGGAAGATGGTTGGTATGCGGTCCAGTGCGTTCTGGAACCAAATCAGGCCAGAACGCACTGTTTGGGGTGTAAACTAGCCCTTAGGCAGCCCATTTGTTTCAATGGATTGCCAACACACCAGAATGTGCAAAAAGGACAAGCGCCATTTTTACAACATAGTACACCATAGCACGTGGTATTGCATTACCATCCATTGGAGTACACTGCAATTAAAAATGCAATTGTGTTAACGGGCCCTCCGACAATTTTATACATGAGGCCTACTTATGCCAGGAATTTTGTAAGTATAAGGGAACTGGAAGTGTCTAATCCACTGCTGTCACAGCAGGCATCGTCAAGGTTCTGCATGTGAGATCCTTCTCCTATACTGCCAGGCACTCTTAAACAATCCCTTGGTGGAAGGGTTGGAAGCCTGGCCTTAACCCTTTTTTCATTTTCTAAACTTCCCTATTGGCCCTGAACTGTGATGAGCGGGCAGCCAGCCCTACAGTCCAATGGGGAGTCTCAGAAGCTTAGAGAAAAATGTTGTATATCCTATTCTACTACCCTGGGCATTAATACAGTTTGCTATCCTGGCTTTCAACTTTTAGGATTTGTCTGGATTTCTGCATCACTGACTTTAATCCAAATCAGAATCAATATATACATAAAGAGGAATTTATCAAAACCTGAGCAGACAAAAATCTGAAGCAGTGTTCATTGCCACCCAATCAGCTTCTATCTTTCATTTTCAAATCTTAACCGAACTGAAGAAATAAGCTGATTGGCTACCACAGGCAATTCCTGTTGCACCTTTATTGAAGAAAAAAAAAAGTTTAGATATTCAAATTGGTGATAAAAGTATATCAACCCTTCTACTGTATTTTTAAGTTACCAGTAGAACTCTTACTCAACCTCAACCAAACGTTTTCTGTAGCTGCTGTTAGGAGGAGGCTGGGACACGTTTTGGCCCTTGTGTATTTGTGGGACATCCTGCTTGAGCAAAATCCAATCCATCTATCCAATAGGTGAACATTCAGGTAGCATTTAGCAGACTTGGGTTGGGAAGTGATGTTTTATCTGAGAGCAGTGGTTTCCTTTCTGCGAAACTCCAATGACACTCACTTATCCAGTGTATGTCTTGTATTACACCCATGAACACAGATGTTATCAAGTGCAAGAGAAGCCTTTAGATCTTTGGCTGCCACTCTGGGATCCTTTCTTCTCTTTTTCATGGTTGTATAGCATGCTTCTGCTCTGCTCTTTGTAGGACATTGTTTCCTAACTGGAGTAGCAAAGGTGATTGAATTTCTTTCATTTGTAAATGTTTTACCCTCTCTATGGACTTGGAGGGACTTTTGGGATTTTTTTTTTTTTTTTTAATAACCTCTACCACTCTTTAATACTCTTCAGAAGTCCTTTGAAGTCTCATTTGATGGGGCTAAATGGCACTACGACATTGAAAGCTATTAGAATGTATGCCAGGTAACTCCGAAGGTCATGCATACTACTTGGATAGTCTATGGTGAACTGAAAAGTGATCTAAGAGATCTGAGGCTTTTGTTGATATCACAAAAAAGGCGCTGAAGCTGGGATGAAGGCCCTATGCAGCAAGAGATCTATTCGCCTAAACATAACATTTACTGCAAGCGTCTTTGACTAAGGACCATTTACAAGTTGGGTTCTCCCCAACGTCTCCCACATCTTGTTCTCGACATAAAGAATAGTGGTGTGTACTATTCATTAATAACGCGGTGCTGCTCTCCATCCTTCCAGCAGCCTTTTGGATGAAGAAGCCAGTGCAGGCTCCCCTGGGGGAGCAGCTGCTCACACAAGGTCAGGAGTTAAATACTTGTCTTTAACCATTTGGGTCATCAATACAGCTCAATGGAAACAGCTCCATGTCACATAAAACATTTTTTTTCTCTATACTCACCTGATCTCTGGATCCACCGATGAGCACAACCTCCCATCTCCCACGCTGTCAGAAGCTACCTACAGCGTGTGCTGGTTAATATTTAAACCGGCGTGCACTGTATGCAGCTTCTGAGAAGCTACGCTATTAGTGTAGTGGGGAAGCCAGCTGCACATTTTGCGTAGCTCCCGCTACGCTAATAGCGCAGCCTGTCAGAAGCTGCATACAGCGCACGCCGGTTTAAATGGTAATCGGCACACACTGTATGCAGCTTCTGACAACGTGGGAGAAGGGAGGTTGTGCTCGTCAGTAGATCCAGAGATCAGGTGAGTATAACATATTTTTATTTTTTTATGTTTCCGGGGACATAATTTGTCTGGGTACTGTCCCCGGATGAATGGTCACCCTACATTATAGCAAACGTCATTATTGCCCAGGATTCTAGAATGGGATGTCCAACAAGCTCATATAGATGATGTGATGGTCAGGTGTCCACAAACATTTAGTTATATGGGATATAATCTGCTCTTGTTGGCTAGTTTTTGATGCACTATTTAGGGCTTGCATCATTCTTAGCACCTGATATGCACATTACATGGAGGGAGTTCCTGTTCATTCAGGGGGTGCTGAGCTTTTTCTCACCCATTCAGGCCTGCTTTGCTATGCCATGCTGAGGGGTAAAGATGGCCACACACAGCTCCTATGTTTTTAATTGTACCATGTGCATAACTATATTAAACCTCATTAAATGGGGTTTTTATAACAGAAATCACTGTTCTTCTGAATTTCCTTTGGCATTGGTCTGCAGCCAGATTGGATTCAAATTTTGCCTAGCAGAGGTCACCTTTTTTAAAGTCGGTCTGAGCAAAATAATAACAAAACAAAAATAAAGAGCACTATGCTCAACATCCTCTCAATACATCCACAGACTTCTGTTTTGTTTCCTAAAAACACAACAATGTCAGAAAAATACCAGTTGATCCTGCGAAAAAATAATTTGAGCTACTAACTTCCTTTTTGGACTGGCAATCTACAGCTCTGAAATTCCTGTCAGTGTTTTTCCCTCTCTCAGCACTTTTATTGGACTGCAGAACCTCTTTCCTTCTCTTCATAGCATAAGGAGTAGGTGTTCTGTAGCACCCGGAGGAAAATTCATACAGGGATGATAAACACTGCTTACATTTTATTTTTTGTGCTGTCGTGACAGAGTTGTCACCACACTAGAGGAAGAGTGGAACACGCCGGATTTTAGGCAGATCAACAGGTATCATCTGTATTTACAAACAAAGAGACAAAACACAGGGCAAGGTGCATGCATTGCCGATATGTATTGCATATATATATATATTTTTTTTTTTTTTTAACCCTGCCATACACTAATGGGCTAAAGGCCATAAATTATTTACTAGAGCCTCTCTAAGTGAATATGGAGATAATAGGGAGTTCCAGGATTGTTGAGGTTATATCGTCATGTGTGGTGTTTAGTATAGAAGAAAATAGGTCACCAGCACTCCATAAGTTAAAATGAATGAGTCCTTTTAATGGACAATGATGTCACAGAAATCCAACATGAGCCGACGTTTCGGGGCCACACAGGGTCCCTTCTTCAAGGCAAGAGATGTGAGGTCACTAACTTATGGAGTGCTGGTGACCTATTTTCTTCAATCTTGTGTTTTGCACGGTGCCATCCGTGAAGTTACTTCGAGCACCATTTTATTTGATTGTTGGCCGGGACTGCTGAAAGGTGTGCGGAGGGCACCTCCATCAATTGCATCTAGTGTTTAGTATAGTTCTGTATATCCATCAGTCAGAAAAAATTAAGCCTGGCCAGAAATGACAGCTGCAAGGCTTTACAACCTAGTCAACTATGGCAGCTTTCGTATTTCTTACTCAACAGTCTTCAAACTTGATGGACATTTGTCATTCTTGTTCTTTTTCCTACAGGAATTGCAGTATGTAATGTGCCAGCAGCGTCCGTAGAAGAAACCGCCGACTCCACGTTGTGCCACATTCTCAACTTGTACAGGAGAACCACATGGCTGCACCAAGCATTACGGGAAGGCACGAGAGTCCAGAGCGTGGAGCAGATTAGAGAGGTGGCCTCCGGGGCAGCGCGAATCCGGGGGGAGACTTTAGGCATCATAGGACTAGGTAAGTTTTGTTCATCTAAACCTGTAGTAGGTGGCATCTGATGTACTGTGTTCTGCTGGCCGATTTTGTTCTAGTAACTGGTACTTGAGAGTCAATAGCAAATTGAACATTTGAAAGGTCATAACACCCTGAACATGTATTTTAGTCATTGATGGACCTTGTTGGGATTAACCACCCACTTTGCTATATTACTCTTATAGGGCTAGTCACTTAAGGGTGAAGAGTTTGGAGAAGGCAGGAGAATTGAACAATCCAGGCCCAAATAGCTGATTTGGAAAATTTCTCCAATTCAGCTCACTTTCCAGTTCCGCTATGTTGTCCTAGATTGTTCACTTCTCCTGCCTTCTCCAAACTCTTCACCCCTGTGTGAATAACCTTCTTAGCCTCCATTGGTCCGGTCTCCCTTTCAGAATTGTAGCTCTGCCCCTCTTCCTGTAGTAGGCAGAGTCTAAATATGCAGCTTTAGAAAATATGGAAATTGGGCTGCGTGTGGGTCTCTCCGGGGCTGCGTGTCGATGTCTATATGACTGCGTGTGGGTCTCACCTGGGCTGCGTTTGGGTGTCTGCATGTGGGTCTCACCTGGGCTGCGTTTGGGTGTCTGCATGTGGTTCTCACCTGGGCTGCGTTTGTGTGTCTGCATGGGGGTCTCAGGCTGCTTTTGCTTCTCACCAGGGCCGTATGTGGGTCTCTCTAGGGCTGCGTTTGGATGTGACCAGGGCTACAGTTGTGGCTCTCCATAGTTGTCGGATGCTGGACTCTCCAGGGCTGTATGGGCGGGTGGGGTTGTCCAGGGCGGTTTCAGTCTTGGGAAGAAGGAGGAGGAAATGTGCGTCCAGACTGGCACTGTCATGGACATAGACAGCTGCCATGGGAGGTTCCCAGCAGGCTGCCTGAGGTCCCCACCAAGTGCGGGAACTCAGGCAGCCAAATCAATTTAAAGCACCAGCATCGGCACTATGTTCGGGGGCATTTTTATGAGTACCAGCACTCGTGAAAATGCCCTGTATCGGCACCTATACCGATACTAGTATCGGTATCTGCGCATCCCTAATGAAAATGCGTAAAGCTGAACAGACTTTTTATTTTGCTTATATGGCAATCATTTCATATACATTCATATTCGCTGCAAATGTTCTATACACGGCATGCATGATTTCCCTCATGCAGATCTGAGCAAAGTGCAGGTCCGGTTTTTACAGTTTTCTTACTAAAGAACTTTGGAGATTTCCTAGACAAAACACATGAGCATCGCTGGTTGGCAGAGAAGACATTTTCCATCAGATCTTAAGCTGCCCATATATACAATATAATATCAACCTGAAGACTCGGGATTTAGGGGCTACTCTCATATCTGTGCATTAGGAAGACACCCATGGGTTGCTCTTGTTGAAGGACAACTAGTGGAAGTTAGAGGACCGCTTTTGATTGTCCTTGTTTCCTCCCAGGATAAATGCCACTGGCCTACACTGCTCTCCCGCCTTTCTATCTGCATAAACATGAATGACTGGCTGGGCTATGAGTTTGTGTTTATGTGCACACTGTGAGCTTCAGATACTATAAGATACGTCGGACCATACCTGCGTGTCCAACCAACCTGTAAAGAGTTCTAAAATCTCAGCATATCCTATCCTATTATAACATCAGCATTGTAATAGGAATACATACTGGAGTTGTTTTTGATAATGCAATCACAGACATAATGCAATCAAAGCTTACTTGGAAAAGTCCTTTTATGTAGTGAATGCCGCCTTCCGTCTGCTCATCACTTTTATCAACTTCCTGGATTCCCAGTGTGCTTTGTATCTCATTCCCTGCTGCTTGATGTGATGCAATCTCCATTTCTCCAGACTACATGTCCCTTCATGCATTGCTTCCAGCAGGCAATGATAATATTACATTCACATGGCTGAGTGAAATGATGTCAGTGCATTGAGACTGTACATCCTATGGGCATCTTCATTGAGTTTACAAACTGCTAGATCGATAAGTTATTAGGAGTGGGATAGAACATATGGAAATTCAATAATGAAGTACATATTTATTTTTAGTGTGGCCACAGATACTTAGTTTGAGCTGTTTTCCAATTGTTTTTGAGTTGTTGGTTAACCTCCCTACACCTTTTTCTTCTCATCTGATCCCATTTTCTCCATCCAGAACTGGTTTTTCAGTCTTGAGGTGTGATAATCCTCTGACAAACATTAGCTTGGGGGCAAGGTATGCGTGGCATCATTATGGGTGTAGCATCTATTCAGCATGTAAGACACTTGCAGGTTTGAATGAAGCGTAGTAATGTGCGTCTTTAGTTAAACAAAAGCTTGGCTCTTTAGAGATTGCTGTAACCGTGGAACATGTTGCCTCACACCAGCCCCATAGGGCAGCGTTGCCTATCAGAAAGTCGAGGCAAAAATCCTGGCTTTGTATAGGACCTGTTTCCACTAATGAACTGCGTTAGTGTGCATTAGGATAAGATGATACAGATGTCTTTATCACATTGCATTACAACGTGTTGCAACACGCCCCATGTTGTCATTCCCTTCATGTAACAAAATAAAGGGCCTCTTGCATGATCTGCCCTCGCCTGAATATTTCACCTGCTGTTCATCACTGGTGAGCAATGGTTCTGCTACAGCAAGGCAGACTACAGTCATCGGGGTTAATCTTCTAAAGGAGTAGAGCTACAAAAATGATTATAATCGATGATGGGAAACATTGTCAACGCTTTCCATCATCGACTAGTTGAATTTCGACGGCATATGTCTCCTCGCCGCACGCCGCTTCTCCTCCCTGCCTCACGGACTTGCTGCATGCCGCTTCTCCCCGCCTCACGGACTCGTTGCTGCCCGCAATACACATCAGCACAATGAAAAAGGAAGAGCAGGCATGGGGGAAAGGCAGCTGTCAGACAGGCCCACAATCTTAGGGAGACTGCTCAGGTAAGCCTGCAAGCCCCCCAACATGGTGCTGTATTAATGTATTGCCTGGATTTGTAGTCCTCTATAGCTGATGGTACATGGTGCTGTATAATATATAGCACGATGTACCATCGGCTATAGAGGAATACAAATCCCAGCAATACATTATACACTGTATGTATAATGTACTATTGCTGGCATTTGTTGTATTCCTATATAGCTGGTGGTATTCTGCATTGCGCCGTATATAATCATTATACAGCGCACTGCAGAATACCACCAGCTATAGAGGACTACAAATCCCAGCAATAATAAATTATACAGCGCAATGTAGAATAACGCCAGCTACAGAGGACTACAAAACCCAGCAATAGTACATTATAGTATAATGTATGTGCTGCGATTTGTTGTATTCCTCTATAGCTGCTTGTATTCTGCATTGCGCTGCTGTATAGTGTATTATATTGCACACCACACTTTTTTTTACTTCCACCGCTCCAAGCTTGCTCCCGTGATGGACTTTAATCTCAATACAAACTAGTAGACCAACACTGGAGCCATTTTTTTAAATCCGATTTAACCGATTAATCGAAGGTAATAATCAGCTAACCGATTTTGAAAATAATCGTTAGCTGCAGCCCTAGAGTAGAGCATGTTCACTCAGCTTAGTGAATGAGGTGAAACATTTACTTTGAAAAGAGCCGCCTATCCTGTACAAAGGAAATTCACTTGGCTCAGTGAATGAGGTGAAGCTGTGCTAATGTCATTCATCCTGTGTGTTATTTCTCAAAGGGGTCCTTGCCAATCTAGCTGCATATTTCCATGATTTTGATAACTATCCTCTGAGATAGAGTTGTGTGGATGCAGAGAAATATTAACCCTTTTGTACTTCTTTCACATGATGATTGGCATCTTGTGAACTGTAAAATCACCCAGTAGGGGAATACATACAGTTACTAACCTATCCAGTTTGGTTGATAGAGACTTTCCAGTTTCGGCTCAGATAGGATATGACGTGCTTGCTGCTAGCGACGACATGTTTCCTAGACTAACAAACCTTTTTTCAGTCATGGCACCCTTTAAAATATGCAAAATCTTAAGGCACCCCAGATCCTCCCTTCCGATTAGGACCTCCCCTTTCACATCAGAGTCCACTTTTATATCAGGAGCCCCCTTCTTTCATGTTAGAGTCCTCCCTCTCATGCTAGGAGCCCCCTTCACAACAGAGTGCATCTCTTTCAAAGAGGAGTCCCCTGTCCACATCACAAACCCCCTCTTCACATAAGTAGACCCTTTTCACAGCAGCAGACACTTCCCCCCCCCCCCCCCCATGGTCCCTCTTCACATCAATTTCCTACCATCAAATCCAACCATCTGCAGCATTATGGCCAGGGGAGGTGCAGTCCTGGACACTGGAAAACTACCATCCTTTTCTGAATAAATCCCATCCTCCCTGAATTAGCATCCTTGATTTCCATGGTACTGTCAGCCTGCCTGCACCATCGAAAGGCATGACGCTATGCGAAAATTGTGAGGCACCCTGGTTGAGAGAGGCTGTCCAGACGGAAAATGTCACTTTTCTGGAAGCTAACAGAATGACAAAGTGTTGTATTTTGGTCGATTTTTAAATGAATGGCTAAACAATGGTTGAACATTTATCATCCATTTCCAGCTGTTCGTAACCAATGTCTTGCTTGAGTTTCCCTGTGCATTTTGAATGATGAGATCCAGATTTCCTTGGTAGAACTATCCATAGGCTGTCATGGTCATGACTGAGAACAAGTAGACTTTTCCGGCAATCCCTTAGCATGCTTCTGAACCTTATACTTCAATCTGAGCTTTGCACACACGTAAAATTGTCAGTTATTCATCTAAAATGTTCCAAATCTGCCATATTGGACAATTATTCATGCCCATCCGATGGCAAGACTGACAAGAATAATGGTTCTGTGTTTGCTTGCTTGAGCAGATCAGAAGGGTCCTCTCTCTCTCTCTCTCTCCCTGACAAATCATCATGCAACATCATGTCGGGCTGTATTGTACTGCAGAGGATTTTCTTATTTGGATGCCTTTTTAGTTTGCCGTTA